TCTCTAATAAAACCCTGTGCCAGCAGTGCTAACATAATGTCAGGATGGAGAGGGGAGGCTGTGAAAGAAGTTACTTCAATGCAACTCATGTTGTGGGGGAAATTACCACTGAGATTTCACAACATGCGTGGGATAATGGAGAACAGACAAAGTTGAGGGGTTTTGTTCGTTTTTTAAGGAAAAAGACAGAAACCTTGCTACAGCTCTTTGAGAACCTCCTCCTCCCCCCGCACTGTCTTTATCAGTTCCCACAACTCTTTGCCAGTGCAGTGCAACAGCATCTTGTCCCGGTTTACTGAAGTAAGAGATTCCTCAGGACTCTCTGGGAGAGAGACAGTGAACTATTACCAGGGGGGTCTCAGATTGCCCAGCATCTCATTAATTTCTGATTTCTCTTTTTATGGCTAGAAAACTTGCTGTTGCAGCTGCCCTTTGACAAGATCATTTAGTAAAGGTATAAAGTACAAAATTATTACAGCCAATTATTAAAACAAAGCCTGGCAATGCAGCTTGTTTGCCTTAAAGTGATACAAAAGGTCACAAACCTCATCTTTTAGGGAAAACCTTTGTCAGTTACCTTTAAAGTGTAAAACCAGACCTGTCCTGACAGAGCTCAATGAATGCTTTTTATGCAACTCTGTTAGCCTTTGAAGTTCCTCCTAATCCACCCCTAAGTGCCTGGAACGTATTCTTCAAAGAAGCTGTAGTCTTCTCCAGTTTCATTTCAGAACAGGGTTACAGGATGATGCGACTAATACTTTTTTTTAATCTTTTTTTCACTTACAAACATCACGGATTCGTATTCTTCTTGTGAAATGTAAAGGAAAAATCCTGAATGTCATTGTTAATCCAGCAACAACTACTTTTGTGGAAAACTATAAGGTCTTGTCATTCAACGACTTCTTTGATCTGATTTTCACCATTTTCATGAAACAGCATAGTCTGAATTACATGTTTTCATGGTTGGTATTTTGTGCAGCAGGAAAAGCTAATTTATTCATTATGCTTATTAGCATTTGGTGCATATTCATATGCTATTCACATTCATATAATAATCTATTCCAAAATTGAGAGGAATTATTGTATGCCCTAGGACTGATGGACGAAAATAACAAAACCAGAGCTAAAAATGTCGTATGTGTTCTTTGTCAAGTTAGGTAGTCTAAGTCTTTGATACTCATTTAGTACACTGAATTCTTGCAGACTCCGTGTTTAACTCCCTGGCGACGTCACAAGTGTTGTACTCACCTCTCACTGCTGAAATCCCCCTTTCTGATGTCACTCTAACAAATTCTGTTTTGATTTAGTGTCTCATCTGTGGCGAATTATTTAGCCAAAAGTTTAGCACTGCCACTGAATGAACATATTATATGGCTTATAATATGGGTTATACTTATTTATATTATTATTAAACATATTATTATTAAATATGTTATTATTTTATATTTATTATGGGTTATACTATATTTACACAGAGGCATGTTTTGTCTTTGGGAAAGATTCCAGTGTTAGTATAGCATGCTATACACAGGGGAGTATATGATATAATCCTGGAGTTAGTGTTGTTAATATGCCTGTAACCTCTACTGAGTAGGACAAACACGAGTAATTTTCTGCAATCTGCAGTTCACAGAATAATTTGAAGTTATTTAGATACTGTTTCCTTTCTGGTGGCATAAGTTGCAGTCTTCTCAGCCTGCTCCATGTATGCCTTATAAGCAATGCTGTGTTACTTCAGGATGTTTGTTCAAAAAAAGAACATTTTCCT